GATTACTACTAATAATATAGTCGTTCCCTATGTTGCAGATCAGTAGATTACTACTAATAATATTGTCGTATAATTACTCACCTCTTTCATTAATGTCACTGCTACCCAGGATCGTACTAATTTTCTTTTCGCTGCTATTGCCGACTAGGGCTTTCAGCAGCTGCGAGGGGGTCTGCCTTCTTGGTCGTGGGCAATATAGACAGAAGCCATTCGTATGGTAGTTTTAGCCTCACCATTTTTGTCCCTTATTCGTAGACCCATCGTTGTTAGGTTGTCGTCGCTGAATTGAGGAATTAGAATGGCGTTAAGTTCTTTCTTAGCTGAAATACATGTTCTATGTTTACCCTTACCGCTCTTACAGAAGCTTGGTGATCCAAGAGCCCGGATTGTGCTGTTATTTACCCAGGGCTCTTGGATTAGGACTAGGTCCGCATCGCCTGCTGCCAGACGAACCATCAAGGCAACTGTTGCTGCTGTGAAGCAGGCTTATTTGGAGGACCTGCATCATCGGTGTTCTCCATCTTCTCCTCCGTGAGCGTCGCGTCGGCTTCTCCACCTATACCTCCCCCACTCTGCTGATCGCCTGCTTATATAGCGCAGCCGACCTTTCGTCATCACATGTTATGAGTTTCACACCGCCCTGGTACTATCCAGTATCAGTGCACTGAGGGTGTTCACCAGGGTTGTCCCTCAGCACCTCCACTGCGACCGTAGCTATCGCTACTTGGATCCAACGCCACTGGTGCCTTACTTCAAGTTTGTATACGAAGTTTGGTAACACCCGCTTCGTTCATAGAATGTCCGCTTGGATTCTTTCGAATTCTTCTTTCTTCGTTTGCTCCGGCGTGATTGGAGCGTCGGCTTGACGAAGGATCCGAGCTGCCGCGCGTTGCTCGCTGTATCCGGCCACCTCCGGACCTACTCTTGGCATCTGTGCTTCTATTTTCCCACCCATCGCTTTTCCCTCGGGCACGCCAGCAGCCGAGGGCTCATTGTGGATAATATGCTCGGAACGGGCTTTGGGTTGGCGGTGAAGGGTTGAGCATGGTGACTGGGCTTGCCATTTTGGCTCTGCTTCGTCTTTATAACGTCGGAGCGTGGTTGAGACACGGCTTCTCTGGATGCAGAACTTTCAGTTCCTTCCGGCCTTTGTGGAGGGATGGTCTCAAACTTTTTATACTCTGTACATGAAATGTACAAGAGTATATAAGGTTTGCGAGAGCTGAAAATATAACAGGCAGAAGGAGGCGTGGCAGACCCCGCAAAGTATATATATTCTTGATCGGCATGACGAGGCGAGTCGATCTAGCCGTGTCTGCCCGTCTATGAACACCTGGATATCAGATACTACAAGAGCTAGAGACTCCAAATTTTGCACAAAGATGGCTTATGTGTATACGCTGTGCAAATTTGTTTTATTTTTTGATTTACCCCCGCCCCCCACTTTTCCCCTATGTGGGTTTTCCCGATTTTCCATTCATATAATCGCCTACATCTCTGAGACTATAAGACCTAGGAACACCAAATTTTAATCCAAGATGCCTTTTGTGAATACGCAGAAAATGTGTATTTTGGAATTTCCACCGCAAATCGCGGGGAATCTTGGCATTTGGACCTATAATCACTAACTGGAGGTATATGCCAAGTTTGAGTTCGAAATTCCAAGAAATACGGCAGTTATGGATTGCGGTTTCTGTGAATGTATTCTTGCGATTTACAAAAGCAGAAACACGCATTATACACTCACAACATTCATATTCAAAAAACTCATATGGATAAGTGTTGAGCTGTACAATTGCATACATACACTTATATGTGTGTATATGTATGTACATGCATATTTTATGTATATACATGTTTATGTATGTACATACATATATGTATATAAAATAGTTGCGAGTGTACATGGGTCTGCAACGCCTCCTTCTATGTGTTCCCTGTACCCTCGCACAAAACTAATATACCCTTTTACCCTTTGGGTACAGGCTATAATAAACCAAATGGTAAGCGTTAAAAAGCTTCAAAGTGTAGGTGCACCAAGAAGTGGTTTTAGAAAATTAGAAATTCGATTAACTTTAAACTTAGTTTATGTATTTACTCTGAGAAAGAATACAGAATAAACTGCGTTGTATTTTTGTAACCTTTCATTAAAGAATAGAAGAAATAATTATGATAAATGTTGTACAGTTGCATAAGTTTACCAAAAAACGTTGCCAAATTGTACAGCTTTTAATTCTAGAAATTACTTGCCTTGATGTATCCCTTTCATACTATATACATAAATATACATAAGGTGCGCGAAATAATTAACTGGGACAAAGACTTGGCACATTATATTGTCCACAAAATGCAATTCTTTTTTTCCCTCTTCCTCCTATATTTTGGTTGTAGTATGCTTGAGCTGTAAGCAAAGAATTTTGCAAAAGTACCGCAAGGTTGTCCCGTTATGTCTATTTTTAGAAGACAATGCTGACGCTTGTGAACGAAATAATTAACTGGGACAGATTAGTTTGCTTTCATTTGCGAATAGTTCATGACGTAAAATTTAAACTTTTTATACAGAATTCTGTTTAATCTATTATATTAATTAAAAATAAGTAAGTTTCAACAAAAATTATTATTTGTAGCAATTCCTAACTGATTTTTTTTGTTAAGAAATGTCGAGTTTCGCCCGTTTAAGCAATGAAGAACGTGGAAAAATATTGGCACTGCATGATATGGGGATGTCAATACGCAAAATTGCAGTAAATGTTGGCAGAAATAAGAACACGGTGGAAAATCTGTTAAAACATCCCGAAAACCATGGAAAAAAGACCAATTCCGGACGCCCTCCTTTGGTTGATAACCGGGACAAAAGGCGTATTAAAAATCTAGCGGTCAAGGAAAACATCAGCGCATCGCAAATATGCAGCAAAATGTCTCTAGAGATATCCACGAGACGTGTGCAGCAAATTTTAAGAAGCTCAGAGAATATTATATCTGAAAAAAAACTACTCAAACCGGAGCTACTGCTACGACACAAAACTGCTCGATTGCAGTTTGCCAACAAGTACAAATTTTGGGATTTAGAGTGGCAAAATATCATTTTTATTGATGAGAAAAAGTTCAATTTGGATGGTCCTGATGGTTACCGTTACTATTACCGCGATGTGCGAAGCCCAAAAAAAGTCCGCGTGTCACGAAACTTCCATAATATGGGCAGCGTTTGGGTGCAAAGGATAGACACCGATGTGTTTTATAACGCATAAAATGAATGCACAAAATTATGTACAGCTATTGGAGAGTGTTTTAGTGCAATTTGGAGAAAATTATTTCGGTGATTCCTGGACTTTTCAGCAGGATAATGCACCAATTCATACTGCACATCTCACCAAAGAAGCCAAAATTAGGGAATGGGAAAAATTGGACATTCAAATGCTCCAAAACTTGGTCAATTCAACGCCAGGGCGAATAATTAAGGTGTTAAACAACAACGGGTGTTCCATTTAGAATATATTCATAGTTTAAAATTCTTTGTTTTACTCATTTTCAGTTTTAAGATACAAATAATGAAATTGTCCCAGTTAATTATTTCGTTTGAAAATATTTTGTTTAATTTTTTTAATATATTTTCTTAAGTTTTATTTGTTTTATTTTAGTTGAAGTCTATTCATAATTTTATTAAGTTTAAGCAGTAATTTGTTTCATGAAAATAAATTGAACGGTTTAGTTGTTATACTCTAAAACGTAGTGTCCCAGTTAATTATTTCGCGCACCTTATGTATGGTTGGGCTATTTTATATTTGTTAAAATGTATTGTTAAGGTGCTAATCTGAATGCACGGCTTCAATGCTTTGATTAAACAGAAAAAAAATATATATATATATGTATGCATATATAACCATACATAGTATTTATTGTACTTTATAGCCTAGCTCTCGAATCGTATCAAAGTAATTTGCTATTTGGGAAATGAACTCTTTAGAAACTTTAGAGAGTGTCGGAAGAGAAATATCATATAGTAAATAAACGTATAAGCACAAATACTGAGCCAGCAAAGACGGACAAGACCTGCTACTTTGATGCATATTTCTGTCCGCTAACCCCAACTTTGAGGAATAAAAATACGTCACTTTAGGCTAGGTCTAGAGAATAAGGAGGGTATTTAATCTGAAATTGAGGCAGTTTTTTCTATCTTTAGCTTATCCAATGCGATGGGTAGATTTTCGTTTGTCCAAATAATCGGTATATACTTTACCACCACGACTATCCCAAAGAACTATCGCCACCACCTTTTCAGGCGAAATAACATAATTGTCTGTTTTGGAGGCGGATCCCCGTTCACAATCTGCTGTTTTGATTGTAATTTTGTTTCTCATGTCCAATTCGTTCAAAATATAGAAATCGCGGTCTTTAGACACCATGGTGATCTGAGCTATCTCTCCTGCTTTGATTTGACGGTCGTCCACAATCATATTGTGAATTGTGGCGATGTTTTCGGCTGTGGTTACACATAGTCCCAAAGTTTGGTTAATAAAGAAAATCGTTTTTATAGCCTGACTAGAAACTTTTCGAACTTATCTCGCATTTTGCCTTTCTATTGTCTTATCTATGCCAAACTCTTCTTGCGCTGACCTTCTTTTTGCATAAAACTCGAACTTATTCACATATACACCTTGCTTGACTATTTGCTATTTGAAGGATCCTGCCCAAGCAGGGCAGAGATCTACTCGTCACCAACACACTAAATGTATATTTTTTTACCCTAGTCCCCTAAAGTAAAAAGCGCATATTAGGTTTCTGCAAAGTATGTAACATGTATCATACATGTATCAACATGATGAGAGAAACTGATCTAGACATCATCTTCCGTCCGTCCGCCTGGTTGAATGCCTGGATTTCGGAAACGGCTAAGCGCAAATCGGTCTTGTTCGACGTTTACAAATCATTCTTGTCAATCAGGTTTAACGAATATTTATTCAGGCTAACATGTTATAAATTAAAATTCATTTTTGTTCTAGATAAAACCCGCGATGATCTAAAGTTTGGTTCCGCAAGTATACCTGGAGAAGAAATCCTATTTAAAAAACAATTGGATAAAACAATTGAATTTGCAACATTGGTCAATTGTAAAAAGTAAGTACAATACTCTCACAATTAGGTTTGAGGGAGGTGAAAAAGGTATCAGGCAGAATGAGGCATGTCATGATTAGCCTGACAAGTCGAGCCGATCTATGTCTGTCTATCTGTCCATATGAATACCTTGATCTTGGAGACTAAAAATTCGAACTCCAAATGGGGGGGAACGACCTAGAAGGTTTGTTTGAAAAATCACCCGTTTTTCCCCGATCAACTTCAAATTGTTTTTTGTGATTCATAAAAGAATACAAAAACAAGTAATAATTTATACAAAATAATGTACTTTTGTTGCAAATTTCATCTAAATCGGTTAATTCTAAGAAAAGTACCAATTTCACTCCGGTACTACGCCCACAAGCTGCAGCATGAAGTTCGCTTCTTCCTTTTGCTTCTGCTAGTGGCGCATAGAGCTCAGTGTCGGAAGTTTACCTGGGTACAGGGGATTTCACTGTCGGGCTTGCTCGACTGTAGCGTTCTCTCTTGTTTTAAGTTCTATAATTATTATAGTATGTAAAGAGTCGGGACACTCGACTTTAGCTTTCTTACTTGTTTTTTTGTTGTGTAGTACACTTAGCATTAGCGTTTTCATTAATAACTTTCGGTTTCGTTATTTTTATAGCCTGTACCCAAAGGGTAAAAGGCTATACTAGTTTTGTGCGAATGTATGTAACAGGCAGAAGGAGGCGTGGCAGACCCCACAAAGTATATATATTATTGATCAGGATAACAAACCGAGTCGATATAGCCATGGTCAGTCTGCCCGTCCGTCTGTATGAACGCAAGGATCTCAGCAAATACAAGAGCAAGAATAACCAAACTTGGTATCCACATTCTTCTAAGTCCGAGAAAGGACGAGTTTGTATTTTTTTTCTAATACCTTTCGGTTTCGTTATTTTTATAGCCTGTACCCAAAGGGTAAAAGGCTATACTAGTTTTGTTCGAATGTATGTAACAGGCAGAAGGAGGCGTGGCAGACCCCACAAAGTATATATATTCTTGATAAGCGTGACAAGACTAGTCGATCTAGCCCTGTCTGTCTATCTGTCTGTCCGTCCGTATGAACACCTGGATCTCAGAGACTATAAGAGATAGAGACACCAAATTTTGCACAAAGATGCCTTATGTGTGTACGCTATACGAGTTAGTTTTATTTTTTTGATTCCCCCCCCCCCACTTCCCCCCTATGGGGGTTTTTCCGTAACGCCGTTCGTATAATTGCCTATATCTCGGAAACTATAAGATCTAGGAACACCAAATTTTAGTCCAAGATGCCTTATGTGAAGACGCAGAAAATGTGTATTTTGGAATTTCCCTCCCTCCCCCCTCTCCCCCGCAAATCGTAACTGCCGTAATTCTTAGAATTTCGAACTAAAATTTTGGAAATACCGCCAGTTGGTTATAATGTGTCCGTATGCCAAGTTTCACCATGATAGACCGATTTAACAAGAAGTTATAGCCATAAATATATGTGCTGCTCAGGTGCTGCCCAAGCGCTGCTCAAGCTGCTAACATGTTTACACAGACACGAATAGATGCGCATAGGCATATATACACTCACACAAATGAAATTGCTATGTAAATGTGCAATTAAAGGGTGTATTACGTGAGCTCGAATACCGAGAGAGGTAAAATCGATCAACATTTTTTTTTTAATTTTCTTCAATTTTTTTTATTTTCTATAATTATTGTAAACATATGTACAGAGTATTTCAAAGTCGGGACACCCGACTTTAGCTTTTTTACTTGTTTTTCATACGATACACGGTCCTCTACGTACGGTTAAAACAGTGAAGAGAAACAAAACAAAACCCTCGCATGCATATGTATATACATATATATTTAACACATACACAAATGTACATAGGTATATGTTTGTATATACATATACTTGTATGTTTATGTTTGTATATACATATACAGTGGTCCATCGAACACTGTTGTTTAATTGTAATAAATAATGTTCTATGGTTTTAAATCATAAACGAAATTTTTAAAACGAAAAAAAACTGCAAGTCATTGGCACGCTCTTATTCTTTCGGTCACATTTTTTGATCATCTACGCCTTTTAACTGCAAAGGCAAAATGCCCAAAGTTTACAGTTACCGTCGCTAGGCAACGACTGAGTAAGCGATAGTAAAGCAGAAACCGAATAACGAAGCTACGCATATTCTGCTTCGCATTGCGGGTATATGTATGTATGTATGTACATATGTATATGATTTGTTCTAATTGATCTCAATAAATTATAAGATGTTATTATTTAGATATTCCGTTTATTGCATTCAAACTTCGATGTATCGATATCGATAGTATCGGTGGATTCAACTATCGAAAGTTTTACTCTAGCAAATTGAGATGAGAATTGTCAGTGTTTTTTGATCGTGGCTCATCGCTGCACTGCATTGACACGAGTGCCGTGTTCAATATTCCGAGTTCGTGCGTGATCGTATTGACTCAATAAGGTACCAAAAGACACAAATGTGGATTTAAAATTAGGATATACTCTTATAATTATCCCCCTTTTTTGCACATAGTCTATATTAAAACGTTACGTTATCTCTATATATATCAAACAGTTTGTCTTGACTGATTGGGGATCAACGCACAGGCCAAACGGTAAAAGTTAGGATCCTAATATTTGGACTCAAGTATCTTTTCGTATTATATATCACAGTGTATGTGATGTAATGTTCGTTTAAATACCTTAAATGACTTCCTACTGGTAACTAATTAGGTGAAAACATATGGGTAGGTCATGTACACACAAAATAAATACAATTGGAAACATTATATTGAGTCGGGTTAAGACGGGCAATACATGCTAGTATATCTATGTATATATATAAAACAGTGTGTCCTGACTGATTGGCAACCAACGCACAGCCCAAACGGTAGAAACTAGGAAGCTGAAATTTGGACACAAGATCCCTCTCACAGTGAAAGTGAGCACTTTTGGAAAATGCGAGCTCCAAAGGCAGGAAAACGGGCTCCAACAATTGTATGAAAAATCTACAATTTTAGTTTGTATACTCTCAAAAAGAATACAAGAAAAACTGTATACTTGGTTTTTTGTTATTTTTCCTGGGGTTAGAATTATAGGGATATTCCCGTGGAAAAATCGGGACACGAAAAGCTATGTGCAATCAACGCACAGCCCAAAAGGTAAAAGCTAGGAAGCTGAAATTTAAACACAAGTTGGTTTATGGTGTAGGTGAGCAATAAAAAAAGATTTTCAAAAATTCGAGCTCCAAAGGGGGGAAAACGAGCTCCAAAATTTGTTTGAAAATTCTGAATTTCTGCACCGATCAACTTTTATAATCTATAAAAAAATACAAACCAAACTGCATACTCGTGTTTTTCGAAATTTGTATTGGAGCTTGAATTATTGCTGTTTTAATATTTCTTCACTATTTTTCAAATGAAAATTTTGTGTTATAAATGTTGTCTGATCGATTTCAAATTTGGTATCAGTAATAAACATAACTATATCTACAAATTGGCATTCAACGATTTTCAAAATATAGAAATATGATTTTACTTGCAGCAACAACAAATAACAAAGATCGCAAAATATCAAACAGTTGGGGACATCACATACACACACTCACGCACACACGTTCAGGAGAGAAGGAAATTCCAAAATACACATTTTCTGCGTATTCACATAAGGCATCTTGGACCAAAATTTTGTGTCCCTAGATATAGGCGATTATACGAATGGAAAATCGGGAAAACGCCCATAGGGGGGAAGTGGGGGGAAAAAACAAAAAAATAAAACAAACTTGCACAGCGTAAACACATAAGGCATCTTTGTGCAAAATTTGGTGTCTCTAGCTCTTATAGTCTCTGAGATCCAGTTGTTCATACGGACAGGCGGACAGACAGACAGTTAGGGCTAGATCGACTCGTCTCGTCATGCTGATCAAGAATATATACACTTTTTGGGGTCTGCCACGCCTCCTTCTGCCTGTTACCTTTTCAGCTCCCGAAAACCTAATATACTCTCGTACATTTTATGTACAGAGTATAAAAATAAACTCCAGCACTGAAAAAACAAGTAAAAAGCTAAAGTCGGGTGTCCCGACTTTGAAATACTCTGTACATATGTTTAGAATAATTATAGAAATTAAAAAAAGGAGAATTAAAAAAAAAATGTTTTGATCGATTTTACCTCTTTTGGTATTCGTACTCACGTAAAGGGTGTATAATTGCACATATACAAAGCAATTGCGTCTATGTGAGTGTATGTATGTTTATGCTCGTATATTCGTGTCTGTGTAAGCATGTTCGCAGTCAACCAAAGCACCAGCAACAACAGCAGCCGCGGGCAGCGCCTGGGCAGCGCTTGAGCAGTGCTTGAGCAGCGCCGGGTGCAGCAAATATATTTATTGCTATAACTTTTTGTTAAATCGGTCTATCATGATGAAACTTGGCATACGGACACATAATTACTAACTGGGGGTAGTTGCATTTTTAGTTCGAAATTCTAAGAATTACGGGAGTTAGAGAAAATCGCGATTTGCATGGGAGAGGGGGGAGGGAGGGAAATTCCCAAATATACATTTTCTGCGTATTCACATAAGGCATCTTGGACTTGGTACGAATGGAAAATCGTGAAAACCCCCATAGGGGGGAAGTGGGGGGAAAAAACAAAAAAAATAAAACAAACTTGCACAGCGTACAGACATAAGGCATCTTTGTGCAAAATTTGGTGTCTCTATCTCTTATAGTCTCTGAAATCCAGGTGTTCATACGGACGGACAGACGGAGGCGTGGCAGACCCCACAAAGTAAATATTCTTCATCAGGGTGACAAGGTGAGTCGATATAGCCATGTCCGTGTGTCCGTCCGTTTGTATGAACGCAAGGATTTCAGAAAGTAAAGGGCTAGAATAACAAAATTTTGTACCTAGATTCTCCTAAGTGCGAGAAAGTACGAGTATGAGTTTTTTTTTCGATGCACCGCCACACTATTCGTGTTTTTCCAATAACTCCCGTAACTCTTGGAATTTTGAATTCAAATTTGGTCATTACATCCAGTTAATGATTATGTGTCCGTATGTTCAATTATGAAGAAAGTTATAGCCATAAATAAAATCGCTGCCCATGCTACACGCTATACTCATATAAACACGATTCTGATGTAAATGTATGCTGTTGAAACTGTACATAAACATGTCTCCAATTTTGTATATATGTATTGAATAATTTGTATTTAATTAAATTAAATAATTTAATTATATAATTTTGTAAAATTTAATAAACAATTTTTTTTTTCCAATTTTCCTTTTTGGTGGGAGGTACAGGTAAGAGTTGAGCTCGCTCGACTTTAGCATTCCTTTCTTGTTTTCAAATAATAGCTTGTGTTATTAATGTTGTCTGATCGATTTCAAATTTTGTATCCGTAATCAACATAACTACAAGTATATCTACAAAGTGACATTCAACGATTTTCGAACTACAGAAATATGTTTTTTACTTGCCATATGCAGCAACAATAAATAACAAAGAACGCAAAATATCAAACAGTTGGGGACATCAGATAAACACACTTACACAGTGACACACTCACAGACACAAATATAGATGGGCAAAGTCGGTGCTTTTTATTGTTCGTGGTACATCGCTGCTCTGCGTGGACACGAGTGCCGTGTTTCATACAAGGGGTGTTCCAAAGTAAACAGGACTTTAAAAAAAAAAACAGGACAAATGGTTTTTTCGGCAAAATCAATTTATTTTATTCAAAATAGTCTCCTTCTGCTTCAATACAGCTTTTTGCACGATCCAAAAGCATGTCGAAGGAGTGTTTTATCTCGTTGGCCCTTATGTCCGCCAGTATGCCGGTGCAAGCCTTTTGAATGGCCTCTACGTCTGCATAACGCTTTCCTTTCATGGGCAAATGCATTTTTCCGAAAAGGTAGAAGTTGCACGGTGTCATATCAGGTGAATACGGCGAGTGGTCAATGGTTAAAATGTGATTTTTGGTCAAATAATCGGTCACAAGCGTCGATCGATTCTGAGCAATTTTTGGTCATCAGTCAATTTGTGCGGAACAAACCGTGCACACACCTTTCGTAAGCCCAGTTTCGATGGAATTTTCGGTGATAACGAATTTTGATTGGCCCACATGTTGATCGTCATTTATGTCCTCACGACTACTTTGAAAACGTTGAAACCACTCGTGCACTCTGCTACGGGATAGGCAATCATCGCCATACAATATAGCTTTTTGCACGATCCAAAAGCATGTCGAACGAGTGTTTTAGCTCGTTGGCCGGTATGGCCGCCAGTATGCCGGTGCAAGCCTTTTGAATGGCCTCTGCGTCTGCATAACGCTTTCCTTTCATGGGCAAATGCATTTTTCCGAAAAGGTAGAAGTCGCACTGTGCCATATGAGGTAAATACGGCGAGTGGTTAATGGTTAAAATGTGATTTTTGGTCAAATAATCGGTCACAAGCGTCGATTCTAACGCATCAGTCGACATATAGATAGCGCCACCAGGGGGCGCTAGATTCAAAAAGTCCTGTTTACTATGGAACACTTCTTGTAAAAGCCATAGGTGATCGGTGATTAATTAAAGATTTTTCAAACGAATTTTCCAAAACCCCTTCTTAGTGCACACGTACACTGTAAAAGGATACTTGGTTCCAAATATCAGCTTCCTAGCTTTTACCGTTTGGGCAGTGGGCTGTTTCCTTTTGTTCCCCATGAAGGCCTCAATAATTCAGACTCCAAGGAAAAACAAGATAGAACGCTCGAGCAAGGCCGACAGTGAAATACCCTGAACTCTCCACAAAGAAGCAAAATTAAAAAATATATATTTTAAAAAAATTAAGGCAGAAGGAGGCGTGGCAGACCCCACACAGTTTATATATTCATGACCAACATGACAAGACGAATCGATCTAGCCCTGTCTGTCTGTCTGTCCGTCCGTCTGTCTGTATGAGCGCAAGGATTTCAGGAAGTACAAGAGCTAGAATAACCAAACTTGGTATCGAGGTTCCCCTAAGTCCTAGACAGGTCAACTTTTTTTTTTTTCTGATACATCCCCCTACTCCCCCGCAATTCGTGTTTTTGTTTATAAATTCCGTAATTCTTGGAATTTTGAAATTAATTTTGGTAGGTACATCCAGCTAGTACTAATGTGCCCGTGTGCCGCGTTTCATCATGATAGGTTAATTGTGAAGAAAGTTATAGCCATAAATAAAATCGCTGCTCATGCGCTGCCTGCAGCTCTGCCGGCAGCGCTGCCCGCAGCTGTTGTTGTTGCTGCTGCTGCTTGGGTTCAACTTTGTGCTGTATACAGACACGCATATAAAAACGCAGAGACACGATTCACATGTATGTATATGTTGGAACTGTACATGAACGTGTTTTTAATTTAATTAATATACTTTTTTTTAATTATTTAAATTTTTTTTTTTAACTTTTTCCTTTTTGGTGGGAGGTACAGGGTATTTAAGAGTTGAGCTTGTTCGACTTTTTTACAGAATATAATATTTCTCATTGCATATTTTGTTTCAAATGGCTGTTGTACACAATTATAGTTTTTCGAATATTATATTTTTTCAGAATTCACTTGATGGCCGGAATTGTAGTTAACGGATTAAACACTGAACAGTTGAAAGTCTACATATCAAATCTTAAAATTGCTTCGGAAATCTTAAATAAGTCCAATATGATTGGTCTTATTGAACCTATCAATAAATATGCTATATCAACGTATTTCCTCAATTCATATGAGAAAGGTAAACAAATCTTTAAAATTTAATGCAATTTGAACCGTGTATTTCTATTGAGTTGCTTTTGTTTCGATAAAAAAAAAGAGAAGAAAAATACATCGTACAGTGTTTGTGTTAGTACATAGGTGTCTATCTTCTCTATACTAATACTTGTAGCTTTTACATTCTGTACACTAAATGTACAAGAGTATATTATGCAGTATGCAGAAGGAGGCGTGGCAGACCCCACAAAGTATATATATTCTTGATCAGCATGACAAGACGAGTCGATCTATGTCTATCTGTCCGTCTGTCTGTCCGTATGAACACTGGATCTCAGAGACCATAAGAGCTAGAGACACGAAATTTTGCACAAAGATACCTTATGTGTGTACGCTGTGCAAGTTTTTTTTTTTTTTTTTTTTTTTGATTTCCCCCTCCCCCCTTCACACCTATGGAGGGACATCAAATACTATTCTCAGATGCCTAAAATTTAAAAAAAAAATTTTTTTTATTCAAACATATGTACAGAGTATTTCAAAGTCGGGGGTTTGAAAAGGTAGAAGTTGCACGGTGCCATGTCAAGTGAATACGGCGAGTAGTTAATGGTTAAAATGTGATTTTTGGTCAAATAATCGGTCACAATTGGCTGGATTCTGAGCAATTTTTGTTCACCAGTCAATTTGTGCGGAACAAACCATGCACACACCTTTCGTAAGCCCAAATGTTCGGTCAAAATGCGGTAAATCGATGTTTTGGAGATGTGCAATTCCATTTCCATCAATTTCAATGATGATTTCGGCTGATTTTTGATGAATTCACGCACAGTTTCGATGGAATTTTCGGTGATAACGAATTTTGATTGGCCCACATGTTGATCGTCATTTATGTCTTCAAGACCACTTTGAAAACGTTGAAACCACTCGTGCACTCTGCTACGGGATAGGCAATCAATCGCCATAAACTTGTTCCATCAATTGAAACGTTTCGGTAAAAGTTTTACCAATTTTAAAATAAAATTTAATGTTGGCTCTTTGTTCGAAGCTCATTTTCGAACCGATAACACAAACATACTGACACTTAAAACGCAATAACTTCAATTCCAATCGATGAAATGATCAATGAAATTCTCACTATCGATTGTCCGATAAAGATATCAGATTCTAATGCACCAGTCGACATATAGATAGCGCCACCAGGGGGCGCTAGATTCAAAAAGTCCTGTTTACTTTGGAACGGTTCTTGTACAATACGTCGCTACCGTGGCATTCACAGCAATCAAACCACTGCGGCTGTCAGCCGTCTACGCTACCACCATCATCAATGCTGCCGCTTGGAGCCGCTGCTACGGCAGAACTGACCCATCTCAAATATGTATAAATAGCATAACTATCTTTAAGCTAATCAGTTGTACATTAAAAGTTACTACATAAAGGCACCACTAGCAGTAAAACTCAGCGTGTTCTTTGTAACATAGAACCACTTTGAGTCCACCTGGTCAAAAGTGCCAGCTGTGACAGTATAACTGTCATTAGTTCCTGTGCTAATAGCAACGATAAGCATACCCAACTGCTGCCCAATTAACTTTACACTAAATATAAACTTCGGTTACGTTAAAAGAAACCTTAAACTTAAAGCTACATGATGTTTTAAACGGTATTTAGAGGCAAAGTCTCGCAGATTCCATTGAGAAAAAAGAACATTAATGGATGATGGCTTCATCCAGCTGAAATTTAACCACTGCAGTGCGGCAAAAGACTTGCTGTGCAAATTAGTTCAGGAGCTCTCGGTTGACTTGGATATCCTGAGCGAGCCTCAGAAACTTGTAAATGACTTGTACTGACCAATCTGGCAAAGCGGTGCTATGGGTTTGTGGATATCGAGAGATTTATCTGGAGGAGATCCGGGCATGCACGATATTTGTGCGAGCAAGATTTTGTGTCCTATGGTTGTACAGCTGCTACCTGGCCCCTAGCTTAACGATCAGCGAGTTTGTAGCAGCCTTGGATGAGCTGATGTTCGACGTAGCAAATCGTCGTAGGGTAATCTCGCAGTAGCAAGTTGTCTAAAGGACAAGGCACCGTGCTCGGACGCCATCCCAAACCGAGCGCATAAGATGGCACTATTGCTGCATCCCCGCTACTTCGCTGTATTTTTTGATGAATTCCGGAAGGCGAGATCAACGATTGATGCCATCAGTAAAGTCGTCGAGATAGCCTCGAACGCTATTGAAGGGACGCGCTGGAAGGGTGGCACCAAGAAGTATTGCCTGGTGGTACGTCAGACGTAAAATTCCGCAGACTGGGTCTCCATCCTCGACGCACTTGCAGCACACGGCATCCCCGCTTACCTATTCCAATTCATCCGAAGCTATTTCAACAATAGGGTGCTCCGGTATGAAACGTCTACAGGCATCAAGACGCACAAGATTTCCGCAGGCGTACCCCAAGGCTCAGTACTGGGGCCACTCTTGTGGAATATAATGTACGATGACGTTTTGCTACCAACAGGTACTGAAGCAATCGGATTCGCAGACGACGTTGCGGCGGTGGCGAAGGATCTGGTAGAGGCCGACAACAAATGCAATGTTGCCATCAGCAGGATCAACGACTGAATAAATGCAGTGGACTTAGAACTGGCTCCACACAAATCGGAGGCAGTCCTGTCAATCTGTATGTTGTGATGGGTATAATGTTTATCGTTCTGATCATGAGGGTCATGCGGGGTGTGGCCATATATGTAAAAAACAGTCAAATGATTAGCAAACAGCCATTGGGCAGCAATATTGAAAATATGTTCTTGAAAATAACAACTCGCAGCAATACTGAAAGCTTCCTTGTCGGTTGTACTTATATAGTAGACCAAACAGGTTAACGGATTATAGCGATTTCATGAACACCTTTCAATCGGTTTCTTTAAAACACAACAATATTATCCTAGCTGGAGATTTTAACAGCAATATGTTAACTGAACATCATCGCAGGGATGATATGATCTCTCTTGGCATGGTGTACATTTCATGTACAGAGTATAAATAGAGTGGTACATTTGTGATGATCAGCTGTATACGCATATGCATGTATTTGTTTCGCCACTAGCAAGTGCGTTGAAAATCGAAGTCGCTTTGTTTTTAAATGAATTAAATGACAACGTGGTTGATTTTGAAATGCACAATAGTATTATTGCCATATTACAAGATCCAAGTACACAGTGGAAATACCCCCAGTTGGTTATTATGTGTCCGTATGCCAAGTTTCACTATGATAGACCGATTTAACGAGAAGTTATAGCAGCGCTGCCCGCGGCTGTTGTTGATGTTGCTGTTTGGTTGACTGCGAAAATGCTTACACAGACACGAATAGATGCGCATAGGCATACATACACTCACACAGACGCAATTGCTATGTAAATGTGCAATTATAAACCCTTTACGTGAGTTCGAATAACGAGAGAGGTAAAATCGATCAAATTTTTTTTTTTATTTTCTTAATTTTTTTTATTTTCTATAATTATTGTAAACATATGTACAGAGTATTTAGCTTTTTTACTTGTTTTATAATTAATAACGGTGATATCGATGACTTCATTGAAGACTTCGAATCCAACGAAGTTGATTCGGATGAATATGCTCCCGAAAATCCAAGAGAAAACACCGAACTAGCAACAACACGCAACAATATAAAGGGACAATTATAATTTTTTTTAAATAAATTGATAAACATAAATTTTTATACTTTTATTATTTCATTTATTTCAATCTTTTTTCGATATTGTGGAAATAAGCTCCTTTAGCAGTTTATTGCGCTCAATTTGTATTTCATTCGATTGTTCCCAAGCTTTTCTTATGCCTTTCAGCTCTTCGGTCCGTTGCTCTTCAATTTCGATTATCTTCTTAGTTTGGGAATAACGCTGCCTCTGCACAAGCGCCTTGCTCTTTTTCATTTGCTGTGGGGTTGGTACTTCTCTCCCTGGCATGAAAGAGGACGGCCCATCAACATCAAATACTGGATCTAAGTTCTCCAGTTCCATGTTGCATGTTGTTGCAAGTTCATTTCCGTTGACACGAAAGACGCCACGGTTGTTTTAATACCAGCGGTAGAGTCGTCCATTAAATTCAAAAATTACAGAGCAAGTTGACAAGTTGGTAACTTTTCTAACACTTCTTGACTATTCTAAATCTTTTGAAACGGTAAACCCTACCATACTTTGCACAAAACTAAAAAGATTATTCAACTTCTCTGACTCGGCAGTCCAATCGTAGTCGAATCGTACCTATCCTGTTGCCATCAAGCAGTTGTCACTTCGTAAAGTTTTTCGTCTTTTATGTTAGTAAAACGTGGTGTCCAACAGGGATCAGTGTTAGGGCCTCTGTTATTTTCTATATATCTTAATGACCTTCCATGTTTCGTATCAAATTGCGAGATTCACATGTACGCAGATGATGTCCCGCTATATGTTAGTCGTCTGATAAATAGAATAGAAGAATGTGTTAGTGTCTGTAATGACGATCTGTTAAAAATCAGTGAATGGGCGAGAATTAATTATCTACAGTTAAATCCGGAAAAATCTATATGGTTGGTATTATATAAAAAGAAGATTAACTCACTCAATCTAGAGAAGTGGAAACTTAGCAATGATCATATCGAATACGTAAAGAAGGCAACTAATTTAGGCATAATCTCAATGAGACACTATCCTGGCATAATCACGTCAATAATGCAGTAGGAAGAACATATAGTGCACTAAAGCATCTCTCTTTGACGTAGAATTTCCTCCCAGCCAAACTCAAGCTCCTTATTGCAAAGTCATACCTGATAACTTCATTATGGGGATGAATTATTCGGAAACTGCGATGCCGCAAAACAGAATAAATTAAGAGTCGCCTTCAACAGCATTGCGCGATATGTCTATGGCATTAAACGGACTCGTGGATAAAACTTAGGACTCTAATTTTCTTGCATAGAACCATTAATCGAAAAGAACCGAATTATCTGTATGGAAAAATTTCATTTAGTTTATCAAGGAGA